CAACTGCGATGAATACGGACACACACAGTGGAAGTGTCAGAACGCGAAGGTTACGCAAAAGGTTGCACCTAAAGTTGGGGCAACTTATTCCCAGGCATCTAGCTCGGGAAACGCGTAGGGCCAGTGGAAGTAATAGCGGCTTCTACTCAAGATGAAGTGGGAATGATACCCTCCTCACTTCATGACAATGCCGAAGCTAATGACTCCTTAGCTACCCCGCAGACGCATCTAGACCAAACTATGCTCTGTACGTTAGATGTGTCTGAGGCCTTAGAAGACTTAGAAGGCGAATGGTCAAACAAGGATCCTCGCGAGTCTTGGGTGGCGCTAAAGAAGGGTCCTAGAGGGGAACATTTCGTGGTGGAAGTGGATGTAGGAGGCCGCAAATGTGGAGCCTTCATAGACAACGGATCCACGCGAAATTATATAAGTCGCGATTGTTTGGAAAGGCTGCACCTACAGGACCGGGTACGGCACCTTAGTAGACCAGTAACATCTACTTTGGCCAACAAGGAGCGCATGATAGTGACAGACTACATCAAGGACGTAGTCTGTACCTTCTCCTATGGAGGAGGCGAGCTTAACCATAAGATCTCGTTCTTGGTTAGTGACGACTTACCTTTCGAAAAGTTGTTAGGTATGTACTGCCTCGAAGTTGCTAAGCCCCGGTTCGACTGGGAGAAGAAGGTGCTCAAGCAAAAGTTGCCCGATGGCCGAACTGTCAGATTGACTAAGTTCAAGGCCAGCAGTATTGTAGACTCCTATGGCTGCTTGTGTGCATCACCATTCTACAACTATTACAAGCAAAACAAAGAGGAGGGTATGTACCTTGTTTATGTCTCTGAGAAGGGGGAGGCCGTTAAAACACCCCCAGAGATAGAACGCGTCGTTGCTAAGTTCCCTGATTTGTTCGAGGAGCCCACAGGAGTTGTTGATAGGGAAGTCGTCCACGCTATAGAAATCATTCCAGGGAGTAAGACCCCAAAGGGAAGGATCTATAGGATGGCCCCTGCCGAGTTAGATGAACTTCGGAAGCAACTCAAGGAGCTGACAGAGAAGTGATGGATTCGGCCTAGTACTTCCCCTTACGGATCACTCGTACTATTCGTACCGAAGAACGGGGGTACTTTGAGGATGTGCATTGACTATAGAGGCCTCAATGCCATCACAGTGAAAAACGCAGAGCCTCTTCCTCGCATAGACGACCTATTGGATAGGGTGCAGGGATGCAAGTACTATACGAAGATAGACTTGAAATCCGGATATCATCAGATCGCAATAAGACCTGAGAACCAACACAAGACAACTTTCCAGACTCATTATGGTCTGTATGAGTTTGTTGTAATGCCTTTTGGTCTTTGCAATGCGCCGGGTACATTCCAGCACGCTATGAATCGGATCTTCCATGACCGTTTAGATAAGTTTGTCGTAGTCTGTCTAGACGACATTCTGATCTTTAGTAAGTCTGCCGAGGAGCACGCAAAGCATGTTGAGACAGTTCTCTCACTAATGCGACAGCACAAGTATAAGGTCAACTTAGAGAAGTGCGAATTCGGTCGCACTAAGACACTATACTTGGGTCATGAAGTATCCGCGGAGGGGATTAGGCCGGAAGATGCGAAGGTGGCTAGTATTCGAGACTGGCCACGACCTCAGACAGTCACTGAGGTCAGATCATTCTTAGGAATGTGCGGCTACTATAGGAACTTCGTAAAGAACTATTCTACAGTCGCCTCTCCTTTGACTGATCTAACTCGACTTGACACCCCGTGGGACTGGAGTGATGAGTGCGAAGGTGCTTTCAAGAGATTGAAGCATGCACTCATGAATCATGAAGTTCTCATGGTTCCCGATCCGCAAAAGCCGTTCATAGTGACCACTGACGCAAGCCAATACGGCATTGGCGCCGTGCTGGCTCAGCAGGATGGGAAAAAGTTGAGACCGATTGAGTACATGAGTAAGAAGATGCCATCAAAGAAGTTGGCTAAGTCCACCTATGAAAGGGAACTCTATGCTCTCTACAAGGCACTTGTCCATTGGAAACACTTCCTTTTGGGAAGGTTCTTCTATCTGAGGACTGATCATCAGACCCTCAAATGGATCAAGACTCAACCGGCTCTTTCTGATGCACTCAAGCGATGGATTGAGTTCATAGACCAATATGACTTCAAGCTTGAGTGCCTGAAGGGAGAGTACAACACGGTTGCAGACGCGCTATCCCGTAGAGCAGACTACCTAGGTGCGCTAGTTTCTGACTTTGGCGTATCTAATGAAGTAACTCAATCATTGGTGGGAGCCTATCAGGAAGACCCTGTCACGATGGACATCATCCGCAAGCTTCAGGCAAAAGACAAGGCCACAGAAAGTGAGTTTGTGATGGTGGATGGGCTAATCTATCTTGATAAGGCCGGAGTAAAGAGATTGGTAGTTCCATCTAGTGATCAGTTGCGTAGTTTATTTTTAGGAGAATGTCATGACGCAACTGGGCACTTTGGCTACAAGAAGACGAGTGCAAACTTAGTACAACGATTTTGGTG